GGGGGGAGGAGCCAAAAGAATGGGTGGAGCCTAAGGGCGGGGCGGAGCCAGGGAGGGGGGCAGCCCGTGGGGCCCCCGTCCCCAGTGCAGGCCCAGGGGGGCACGAAAGCCCGTGGGGCCTCCCCGTCCCCGCGTCCACGGAGGCCCCGGGGGGCCCAAACAGTCCCGACAGGGGCAGGAGAAGAAGCGGGGCCCTCGCCGCTGTCTGCGGCCTGGCCCATGGTCACAGCGGGGCCGATCCGCGTCCCGTGGGCTGCAGCGTCGGGGTTTTCATACCTCAGCGGTGACAGTCACTGCCACCAGTGTGCACGGGCCGTGTTGTTGCCTTCAAGCTCCCTCTAGTGGCGCTGTTTAAAAAACACCTCTTCTGCCAATGCGAAAACAGAGCTTAAAATAGAAAAACAAGTGCAAACTACAAATACCAGCAGCTCTCAGGACGGTTGTGGAAGGACCCCGGAACACGCCTCTCTGTTTTTATTCTACCAAATGTTTCTAAAGGTTTTTATTTTTCATCTGAAGCTATAAAAGCCCGTGGAAAACTAAAGCATTTTTCAACATTACTGCTAGATTTGCTTTTTGTTTTAGCTGCTATTTTTCGATTTGGTGGGTGGCCCTTTCTACCTCAGAGCAGTGTGACAGTGAGAGAAGGACCCAGACCTTTAATCTTGTTTTGCAGTGGGTTTAGCAGGGAACAGGGGCAACAGCCAGGAAATCCCCATGGAAAAGATACTGAAAACAGAATTGAAAACCTCCATTCTGAAGGCATTTGGAAGCTCGGGAGGAGGATGCATCAGCCAAGGACAAGGCTATGAAACGGACCAGGGACGAGTATTTGTGAAGATCAACCACAAGTCTCAGGTAATGCAGGAAGATATTTAACGACTAATATGATTCTATATAGACAGCAATATATATTTTTCAAAGTTAGTTGCTTGTAAATGATGGAGAATTGTGTATTTTTAAGCTTCGGGTTATTCAAGCTCCTCTTTCAATTTTCTTTTGAAACCTGTAGTATATGTTACATCAAATATTAGTGCAGCGTGTTTGGTTAATGCTGCATGTGCTATAATGCACTGTGATAGCCCTCAATGACAGGAACTGGCCTTATGGAGGAAAAAAAAAGGCCGACGACCATTTGTTTCTGTAGTATTTACAGTCTGGAAAAGCTTAAGGCTAAGTTTACATTCACTGCTTTCCTTTTCATATTTCAGGTGGGAGGATAGAAAAGTAGGAAGGAAAAAGAGAAGGAGGGAGAAAATAAAGGGTGCCAGTGCTAAAACACATGCATTTCTTGGAAAGCGACAGATTTTTCAAGCTTCTCCTTTGCTTTCTGCATTTGTAGCAGTAAGATTATTATAGTTTTTCAGGCTGAGCTCTTGACTTTTCTATTACTAAATAAACACTGTACTAAATCGTTTTGTAACCCAGTATCAATATCTTAAACATCTAAACACTGCTGTGAAGAACAGCATCTCTAACTTAACAGTACAGAGTACAGATTTAATGTTTGTTCTGTCAACTCCATCTGGTGGCCATGGCCCTGCATGGACGACGTCTCCCTGCGTGGACTAGAACCTCGTTGCTGCTACAATCTGCTCCCAGGAGGGGTTTACTGTTACCTTTGGGCTATTATTTCTAAGTATCTCTTGCAGGTGTCCATAGTTTAGCTCAAGGATGTTCTTATTCCTTGACAGGCTAGAAAGATGTTTGAAGGGGAAATGGCGAGTTTGGAAGCTATTCAGAAAACCAGCACCGTGAGAGTGCCTCAGCCTATGAAGGTGATTGACCTTCCTGGAGGAGGAGCGATGTTTGTCATGGAGTACCTGAAGATGAAGCATCTCAACAAGTACGTCTGCCCGTCTCCTGTGGCCGCTCTGGAGCTATGTGGGGTGCCTGGCGGAGCCGTCCACACGTGCCTCTTTACCCTACATCAGTTTGCAATAAATCTGTAGGCTCCCTGTGTCTTTGAGACCTCTGCCCCTGTATCGAACACAGTCAAAACTCATCAACAAACTCAAAGGCACGGGGGCAGAGAAGAAATAGTTAGATGACAGGTCTGCATAAGCCTTGTTTCCTTAGCAAACTAAGCTGAAAGTGGAATTAGGTTTTCAAGAGTCGTTACCTTCCTTCCCCTGCTGTAAGGGAATGTAGTGATGCATATGTGTCCTCTGGTAGTTGTTTGCCAGCTTACCGGGAGAAAAACGGTGGTTCCAGAGCCTCCCCTCACAGCCTGGCTGTTGTTTACTACTGCTAATATTAGGAAAGGTTTTTTAAGATCTAACCTGAACCATCTTTGTTGCAGTTTTAAGCTCGTGATTTCTTTTCTGTCTATTCTAGAGTGTGCAGAGTACATTGTTCCCTTTGTTGTAGCAGCCATTACCTATGGTTATACTCATAGGTACCTATGCACAGAAACTGTTTCTCTTTAGTATTTTATTATTATTAAGGTTAAGCAACCTTAAGTTAACTCTTTGTTTTGGTTGTTTTGCTCATGACTTATTTTGTAGCCTTAACCTTGTTTCTGTCCAATTGATTTTAAAAATGCAAGGTCCAAAACTAGGTTCTCATGTTTTGTTCTTTGCTTGTTAGTGTGGAGTTCACCAGCAGAATTACTTGCTGGCTTTCACATTATGCTCCTATTTTACAACCTTGGGTTATGTTTGCTTTTTATGCAAGAGCATATTATTGACTAATGTTCATTCTATTACGGCTAGACCGCAACTCAGTTGAAAGCATTCGTAATAGATTTAGCACAGATTTATTAGTCCTTTCAACATTTCAAAAGAGTTGCTGTCTAGCCATTTTCTCTCTATTATGTATTTGTGCAACTGAGTATTCCTGACAAATGCAGAACCCCATACTTGTTCATATTGGATTAGGATTTTCTTATTGAATTAGGATTTTCTTTTTTTCCTGTAATATTTCATCCCTTGTCTTTTTTATGTTATTTTATTTTATTGAAACTTGCAGATATTCTTCAAAGCTTGGAGAGCAGATAGCAGATCTTCACCTGTATAACCAGAAGCTTGGAGAGAAACTGAGAAAGGAGGAACACACAATTGGTATAGTATGGATACCATGCACTAAAAAGAAAGGAAATAGTGCATCGGCTGTGACTGGTTCTGCACTGTAATTTTAATGATGGTTTTAATGATGTCTCATAAGATACCTCCTATTCCCATGCCAAACCTCTCAAAAGTGCATAATATACAGAGTAACTATAATTACTCCTATATGTATATACTGTTATATAGTGTATGTATATACTATTATATGCATTAAATAAATTGACAATATTCAGTGAATATATTTTTAATTCTTCATTTGCACATGTGTTTTTATATAAAAATATGTTGATACTGGAAGTTAGTAAGAAATAATGCTAATAGTTGATATTTATAGCTTTCAAGAAATCTTAAACCGTACTAAAGATTTGGGCTAGACGTCTCTTTCAGTACGAGGCAAAACTTTCAGCCAGTCAATGTCTTGATCTTACAGACATGCTCTTTTTTTATTTTTATCTGTCAATTCAAACAATTAACTTACTACAAAACTGGTCCCATTTAGTAAAAACACAATGAAATTCCTCTGTAAATATATTAGAGACTTTTGAATTCAAATATATAATCTAATCTATAACAATTTTTGCTTTGTTGAAAGGAATTACAATTTATTGTTGTAAGATGACGATCCATTTTCCACTGACATCAGTGAAAGTACCTTCCATTGTTCTTTGGAAAGTGGATTAAGGCAAAAAAGAGCAAAACTGGAAGCTATACAAGGAATTCTATTTCTTTTACAGTGGTTAGTATTAAAACCTGATGCCTGATTTTGTTTCTGCATGTTTCTGTGACTTCAAGAATGGACAGTTTGATTTGTAGTGGTATACATATTATGTTCCATTATTTTTGAGAGAAAGTCAGATTAATGGCAAGTCACAAATAATATAAGAATCAAAAATAAGCCATTCTTAATGGCAGCATATTCTAGTATTAGAACAGTGGCTTAGAATGCCGCTTTGAATCAGAGATAAAGACTCTTTTGTCCATGTGTAACTCAGTTATTCAAAAAAGGGCACAACTGTGACTAATTGCCGTCCATGTGTAACTCAGTTATTCAAAAAGGACACTATTGTGACTCATTGCGTCTGTGTCTATTCAATATTTTTGAGGTTAAGATACATATTTTTTTTGTTTTTAGAAAGGGCTGTGACAAAAAATAAGTGTGACTTATAAGTGTCCATACTTATTTGTTATGTCTATTGTCTGAAATTTAATTCTGTATTTGCAGACTTCTCTGTGTAATGATCTTTAAACTTGTTGTCTTTATTTCTTAGGTAAAGGTGCAGGTCACTCTGAGTCTCAGTATGTGGATAAATTTGGATTCCATACAGCTACTTGCTGTGGCTACATAGCACAGGTATGTTCATGTCTGTGAAGTTTGTATCCCTGCAGCTTTGCAAGCTCTGTGTACAACAGCTTGTTTTGTTGCATTCAGCTTTATGCTCACAGCTTTGCTCTCACTGTTTCATTTTGATCTGATGGTGAAATGAATGTGGTACCTTTTAATCAAATTGGGAATGCATTACCTAATAAAAATGAACTGTCCTCTTGGACAGCTGGAATATAATATGGAAAAACTAAAACAGGCTTATGAGAGAGCCTCCCTCTAAAATACATGATTAAGAAACTGAATGAGTGAAGATAGTCAGAATCTTAACTTAAACCTCATGCTAAGGGCAGCCCCACCTAAGCGTGGAAAAAAACACTACTCGCAGCTGAACAATCAGCTAAATATCTAGTAAAATTGTTCAGTGTTGTGCCAGCAGTTAACATTTTAACTTGCTATTTATGTATTATTAACACTGACTATGTTAAAATAGTTTATAATAAACTTCTGCATCGTATTTTTAAGGTGAATGAATGGCAGAGTGATTGGCCTTCTTTCTTTGTACGCCACCGACTCCAAGCTCAGTTGGATTTGATTGAAAGAGATTATGGAGACAGAGAAGCAAGAGAACTTTGGTCGCAGCTAAAAGTATGAACCATGTCTTAAATCTGTTATTTGTGAACACAGAAAGTATGTACCAGTGGAATTTTAAATGCCTTATAGCACATTTACAAGGCTTTTAGCGAACAGGAATAACTTCATTGCTGGTCTACTGTCAGTCAGTTGAAAATAATTCAGGTTGCTCTTTCAGTCTTTTAAACAAATATTAAAAATAAGCCCTTAAGCATTGAAATGTATTTTTTACAATTTAGTTAATAATGATAAAATAGAATGTTGTGTTTAAGAGTCAAGCTGCATAAAAATTTAATGTTCCCATGATAGCACGTCAGGGAGAAAAAAGCATGCTGTATGTAATCTGCTTTACCACTTAAACCATTTATTTTAAATGAAACTTATTTTATATTTCTAGTGTCCATATATGAAACAATATATCAACACTGGATATTGATACTAGGGTTAAGGAAATGATTTGTTAAGCACCGTCAAGAATAAGTAAGAATATTCAGTACTGACTTGTAGTTGAGGTTTGCGCTTGACACCACTTCCAAAGCTCTCCATGGGGACTGAAAGCAGGCAGAATTTGATCAGTTTTGTCTCTCATACTCTGTAGTATTCTTCTTATTTAATCTGTTTATTTTTTTTTTAAAATTCCTGAGCTGTTATGTGTTTGTTCATGCTCTTTCAGCCAAAGATTCCCGAGATGTTCTGTGACGTAGAAATTGTTCCTGCTCTCCTGCATGGGGACCTGTGGGCAGGAAACGTGGCTGAGGACGACTCTGGGCCGATTATCTTTGACCCTGCTTGCTTTTATGGCCATTCAGAATTTGAGCTGGCAATTGCTGGCATGTTCGGTGGCTTTAGCAGCTCTTTCTTCTCTGCGTATCACAGTAAAATACCCAAAGCTCCAGGGTTTGAGAAGCGAAACAAATTGTATCAGCTCTTTAATTATATAAACCACTGGAACCATTTTGGGACAGGATATAGAGGTTCTACCATAAACGTAATGAGAAAGCTTTTAAAGTAAACAAAACCATCTGAGAAATTCTGTCACAGTCCCTGTTAACCAAAATAACACAACCTAGAAGTTAATATTGGTGATAAAAAACGTGGCAGATGTAAAAGGCTTAGTGCATTTTTGAGCCTCACTAAATGTTAGGAGTGGTTGTGCTAGTTTTACTGTATGTACTAGTTTACTACTGCATGGTCATACCACGCTGAAGGAAAAGACCACATAATTTGTGAAAACTTCGCTGGGCTGGACAAGGAGCGTGACCGTCGGGTTAACGTTGCTGCTCGCGGCGTCTCCCGCTCGCAGCGCCGCGCCGCCCTGCGCCTCCGCGTCTTGCCGCTTCGCTGTCCTGCGGCCGGATCCTGGCGGAGCGGCCGCTGTTCCGGGCTGCCGGTGCTGGAAGTCATCACTGCTTCCTTACCTCGGCCCTTTTCTGCTGGGTTTTCCTTTCCTCTTTTTTGCCTGTTCCCATCTCTTTCCCCATTTATGCTTCTGTGTTTTCTTTCCTTCTTCTTGTAAGAGTTCTGATCCAAAATTTGATTCAGATTCTATGAATCTGGAAATGAAAACCTTCTCGTTATCTGAAGAAGAGTAGATTGGGCCCTTGGGACTGCACTTTGCAAGCATGTATCATAGAATCACAGAATGCTTAATAATAGCATTTATTATATTTTTTGTACTTAATTTAACAAAATTTTCTTAATAGTAGCATATCCGAGCTATGGTAAGATATATTAGTAGGTTATGCTCTGATAGTAATATATATTTAAATGACTTTGTAAAATAAAGCAGAGGAGAGTGACTTAGCTCTCTGATGGCAAAGAAGCGTCTAATACTGCTGCAGTACTGACTTGCACTTGATTTTATTTTCAGTTCTATTTTATTTCAGAAAATAATCTGTGCTAGGCATAACTAGTCTGCTCTACTACTGCTGGCTTATTGAAGGAACAATGTAGAAGTGAAGGGGTTTATTTTTTTTTAATATTCCTGTTTGCTTTATTTTTACAGAAAAAAAAAAGGCAATGAGAATTTGGGCCGGAAAAACACATGACAAATATATTGACATACCAGTGCTGTACATTAACATTACATTAAGGAGTGTACATTAACAAAAACTAACTTTTTAATGGAAGAAAGTAGGAGGTAAAGAAAGTAAATACAAGTGTGGTCCTGCAAAGGCTTGTGTGACTTGGAAAATCCAAATTAGACTGACTGCACCTGTGTCTTTCTGCTTTGGATGGTTGTAAAGCCCAATACCTAAAAAGTTATATTCAAAATGCTCAAATGTTTAGACTTCTTTTTCCAGCTTTACATGGTATTATTGTAATAAACAGTATCTTGAAATTAGTGTTATTCCAAGGAGATTGATTACAGCAGACACTAAAACAGCATTTTTGTTTGCTACTCTGTAAAAGGTTTCCTTTAAAGCGTGTATTTATAACATGTATTCAATTTGAATTTAATTCTGTGTAAACATAATACAAATAGTTGTTTGGGTTTTTTTTCTTGGAATTTGGGCCACAATGTGGTGAATTTGTCAGCTTGTGCTTGTGACACTGGGTATTGTAATAGCGGAAAAGCAGGGTGATGGTGCTAGGATCCAGCTGACGGCTGGCAGATCCAGGCCTGGCGAAAGGGTGAAGAGCCTGAACACTTTTAATCTCTTATTTACTTTATTTATTTATTAAGGGGAGCGCCAACCCTGGGAGCGCCTCCCTGTCAAACGCAGTATCCGCCCTGCCAAGGCCCCGCGCCTCAGC